CCTCAAACTTCCTGGGAAGAGAGAAACTTCATGAAAAGGGGCTCTGCTCATGTTCAACTCCTGTTGTTGTTAGGTGACACAAGTACAACTCATAGTAATCTTATAAAAAATAGATCTGAACCTACTCCCAGGCACCTGGGTTGTCAGTGGCTCTGTCCCTCAGAGAGGTGCTAACCTACACTCATCCCCCAGACTGACAGAGGCTACCTCCCTGTGGAGACACACTGCCCACGACCCCTGCTAAGCTGGAGGAGACCCCATCCCTGGCCACATGCTCCTCTTCTAGCTACACTCTAAGTTAGCAAACGTTTTTCTCCTGAATGGTCACCTTACCCTTAGCTACCTCTTGGATGAGTAGAAATTGTATCCACACTAGGTGTCCAGCCTTCCTCTGGACATGCACCTCTCAGACCATGCACCTTTCCTTGTCTTCCTCAGTGATGGCACGAACACCAATCAGGTACTAACCTTCCCCAGTTTCTCTTTTTAAAATACTGTTTTTCATCTCTTCTTTCTATCCCCTTTTCTTCTTTTTATGTTTCCACTCTCCTTGCTTTTCTCATTTTTTCCTTTTCTTCCCACCACCCTTTCTATTATTTTTTGCCTTTTTCACAGATAAGAAAGAAAAATATTATATTTTTCTTTTTTTAATTTTATACTGTTTTATTTACAAAGTTTTAATACATTGTTTTTCATGCCAGATCTTTCCCATTTCCCTCACCACCTCCCCATCAAATTGTGAGACCCTATGATTAGATGCCCTCCCCCCTCCAGGCCATCCTTAACCCTCTGCTTCCACCTTCTCCTCCCCCTTGGATCCTCATACTCATTCTACAATAATGGTCTTATACAGTGTTTGTCTTTATGGGACTGAGTTAGTTCACTTAGCATAATACTATCCAATCCCTCCCAAGTTAGGTAGTGATTTACAAAATCATTGTTCCTGTGTGCTGTGTAGTATTCCATTGTGGGAATGTACCATAATTTCTCAATCCATTCAATTGTGGTTGAACATTTGGACTGTTTCCATGTTCTTTTGATGGTGCATAACACTGCTTTGAACATTGGTGCACAAGTCTCTATTTGTGCCTCAGTTCTCATTGTCTCAGGATATATATGGATTGAGGCTCAATATCAAGAAGACAAAGATTCTCACCACTGGACCAATTGGCAGCATCAGGATAGATGGTGAAGAGATTGAGATTGTACACAGCTTTAGTTTGCTTGGCTCCATAGTCAACAGTCTTGGCACCAGCAGCCAGGAAATTAAAAGGCACATTGCCATGGGAAAGTCTGCTGTTAGGGACCTCTCCAAAGTGCTGAAGGGCAATGGTATCTCTTTGGAGACTAAGGTGTGTCTGATACAGGCCATGGTCTTCGCAATCACCTGTTATGCATCAGAGAGTTGGACAATGACTAAGGAGGATAGAAGGAGAATTGATGCCTTTGAGCTGTGGTGCTGGAGAAGAGTATTGAGAATACCATGGACTGCGAGGAAAACAAACAGATTTGTCCTGGAAAGGGTTAAACCCGGTGGCTCCTTGGAGGCAAGGATTCTGAGGCTCCGTCTAACATACTTTGGACATGTTGTGAGGAGAGACTGGTCCTTAGAGAGGGACATCATGCTTGGGAGGGTGGAGGGACAGCGCAGGAGAGGAAGGTCCTCTATGAGGTGGACTGATTCAGTGACTGGGATAATTGGGATGGGAGTGTCAGAGACAGTGCGATTGGCACAGGACAGAGCGGAGTTTAGGGCTGTTGTACATAGGTTCGCTATGAGTTGCAGGTGACTCGACGGCACATAACAACAACAACAACAACAATATTCCAAACAGTAGATAGCGGAGTCATATGGAATTTCTATGTTCAGCCTTTTGAGGACGTGCCAATCTGCCTTCCAGCCATTTTACAATCCCACCAACTATGTATAAGAGTTCCTATCTCCCCACATCCTTTCCAACATTTATTACTTGTTGTCCTGTTAGTTAAACTTTGCCAATGCCACTGGAGATGGCATCTCATTTTGCTTTTGATTTGCATCACTCGTATTGTCAGTGATTTTGAGCATTCTTTTTGCTTTTATACCTCTCCCTAGGTTCCAACCCTCCCCCCTTTATTATTTCTTTTTCCTTATCTAGTGAAGGGGAGAAACTCACACTACATCTTAGAGCCAACTGGAGAAATGCTAATGCTACTTGTGTACCACCTGCTCAGTGATAGATTGTAGCTAACACTAGCCCAGCCCACCTTCAACTTCCTTACACAAGCAATGAGCAGAAAATAGTGCACACTCTCATATCCTGTGTTACATTCACAAGAAGAAAGCTGACTTTAAGTGCTGCCAAGTTAGAAAGCTGAGGAACACGCTCACCCCAATAAGTTTTCATTAGATGCCATCAAGGTGACTCATAGTGATCTGATGAACAACTGAGAATATCAAAACAAAACACACAGCACCACAATGTCTCAGACTACAGAAAATTTAAAATTATGTATAGACAAGCTAGACAAGGGGACTCAAATAGGTCCTGAAAATCTCCTGTGAAAACACAGGGCCTGAAAATCTCCCAGAGCATTATTGGAACTATCCAATAGGCAATTCAAAGAAATTGTATTTAGGTACCATCAATGAATTGAGAGAAAGTTTGAGGAAGTCACAGATAGAATGTGAACACAGATAAAATTCTAGAATGATTAATAAAAATAAGAAATTTACGGAATAAATGAGAATACCCCAAGCACACACAGAGAAATCTAGAAGATTAATAGTAAATTGGCAGAAATAGATAACGTGTTAGAAAGTCAGAGGAGTAAAATTGAGTCAAGCTAACACAGAAACAGCAAGATTAAAGACAAATCTCCCAATATGAATACAATAGAGGAATAATCAGAAGAAAGCCTCAAAATTATATGGAATATTATCAAGAGAAATGATTTATGCATGATTAAAGTCCAGAATAGGAAGAGACAATACAAAAGGAGGAAGATGAGATGCTATACAGTCAGAAACTTTAAGGACTCTAAACCAGGATAGACCGTAAAAGAAAATTACCAAAATATTTCAAAATAAAACTTTCCAAACCCAGAGACAAAGACAATCCTGAAATCATATGGGGAAAAGACATTACCTACAAACGAGAACCAGTAAGACTAAGCTCTCATTTCTTGGCAGAAACCATGTACTCGCAAGATAATTAAGATATGAGATATATAAGGAACTCTGAAAGAAGACAGTATAAGTTCTTGGTGTCCCAACCATTGTTTAAACCCAGAACACACTTCTGTCAAGTCTATTTTGAGTCCTGATGACCTTCCATTGGGTTTCCAGGATTATAACTCTTACAGGATCAACCTGCCTCCTATTTCTCTTGTGTAGCAGCTGGGGATTTGAATTGCCCACCTTGCAGTTAGCAGGTCAATGCATAATGCACAAAGCATTATGTACTGCACCAGGCAAAATTGTCCCTCAAATCTGACGCAGAAATTAAGACACTTCCAAATACACAGGAATTAAAGATGGTGAAGCTTCAGCTCTTTTGCTTTGAACATGTTGCTAGGTTATTCTTTGGAAAGAGAAATCATGCTTGGAAAGATGGATCATTAGTGGAAGACAGGAAGATCTCTAACAATATGAATTGACAAGGTGACTGCAGCAGTAAGTTCAAGTATGTCAGAGATGTTGAGGATGGCACAAGACAGGACAGAGTTCAGATCTGTTGTTCATAGGGTCACTGTGAGTCATACTTGACAGCACCTAACAAAAACACAGAAACCAAACAAGTCTTCCATGAAGACCCTGTAGATTACAGTTATATTCCAACACATATAGATTTGTTATGAATCAGAATTAATTTGCTGGCAACTGGTGGAGTCAAGTACACACTGAGAGCCTGGCATGTGTGGAATGTCTGTCCCTGTGAAAAGCCATATTCATGACATCTGTAGAATCTATCTACAACTTTATTATACTACTTTTTATTAACTTTATATCATTGGAAATAATAATTGAAATACCAAATTTCTGGTTTCAAATAAATTCAGCCAAAAAAGGTATCCAATCAATATTTTTATTGCATTGTAAATAGGGAGTATGTAAAATAGTTTGTATTTTAACGAGTGAGGCACAGCTTACAATTTTAAACAGCAATATAAAAATACAGTACAGAGCATAAATAAATAATGTCTTTTCATTTCTAGTCAGATTTTGAAACCCCTGGCATTATAATTGTAATTTTGCTGGAATGGCAGATACAATGTCCCTATGCTAATGTTCTGTAAACCAATAAAATAATATTAAGATTCAATATGTAATTAAAGGAATTATATTCATTCAACTTGTAGTCATAGGAAATGACATCATTTATTATTTTTCTAGTGTTTAAATCTTTCTTGAATATTTTAAAGTATAGGTTAGACACTTACTTCCAAGTTGTGAAGGGCAATTAAAACTTTTTTGTAATCACAAAAGCTTTGTAAAAGTTCACAAATAAAGCACCTTGCATTTCAGATCAATTTAACACAGTATTTTGGTTTTGCTCTGGAGCTTTAAAAAGGACATGTGCACCTATGTATTTAAAAAGTTCTGTATGAAAGGGGTCAGGTAAGATAAGTCTTAGAGTAATGCACCATCAGAATAGCTTAGGATAAACAGTGTCTATTTAATTTGAATATTCAAGTATTTAAGTTTTATGAAGACGTATGATACTTCCTGAATGTTTCCCAGAAACTCTCAAATAGTTTGCAACAAATGGGCTTTTTTTTTTAAAAAAGAAAATGCTTAGTTTCTGAAGTCAATCTAGTATAATTTAAGGTTTCATTTCTATTTCTTTGTGGTAGATCTTTCCTTTAACTTTTTCTTTCTTTTTTAATGGTGAATTCTTAAATATTTAAAGAATTCACAGAAAGCTTGAAAAGATCTTACAATTACTGACTGGAAATGAAAGAGGGTCTTCATATTATTGTTAGCCAGTGCTGCTCTTTTTTTTTTTTAAAAAAATTTTTTTTCAGGGAGCACAATTGTTGTTCTAATAGCTCAAACCTGTATTTTGGACAATGAAACGAAGCCACTCACATTGTTTTCAGCCTACCTCTGCGTGTATTTTGTGGGGTAGGATGGGTTGGGAAATGCCTTTTCAAGCAGAAGATTGAGATCAACTTGCCAGGTCTGTCTCACATGGGAGCCACTAGGAATCCTGAGAAAGAGGAGTGGACATATTCAGAGGAGTACAGGCCGTTTGACTCAGCATTGGGCAGCTGGAGCCACACCTGGTCATTTTCAGAGAGGTCGATGATGGCGCTCCCTGAAGCCTGATCCAGGTAGCCTTTGGTATATTCATCATAAGTGTACATCACGGGGGTGCCATTCTTATACAGGCCTACCCAAACATGGGTCCCTTTCACATGCACGTGGTAGGAGAAATAGTATATTCCTGGTATACTACAGGTGAAGATTCCAGTCCGTGGGTCATAATGTTGTTGCTTGTTATACAAAATCTTATCAAAGGGAATGGGAGTGCCTATTGCTGGGTAAGCTTTGGAAAGAATGACAGTAAAAGCCGACACAGGCATTCCTGTAATACCCTGATTGGCACCAACAAGAGGGGTTCCAGAAAGACTGGGCCTTTGGCCTGCCTTTATGAAGTCCTCAGGCAAAGCTGCTTGACCTGGGGGACCTGGGGGACCTGGGGGACCTGGTAGACCAGGTTCTCCAGCATGGCCCCTTGGGCCTGGAGGTCCTGCTGGCCCAGTCGGTCCACTGAGACCCTTAACAGCTACCCCAGCTGGGCCTGGAAGACCTGGGTTTCCTGGGTCTCCTTTAGAACCAGGGACTCCCGGCATGCCTGGAGGTCCCATAGGGCCTCTAGTGCCTGGAATTCCGGGGGTACCTCTTACGCCAGGCTCACCATTATTTCCTGGCACTCCTTTAGCTCCTGCTGGGCCCATTGGACCTGGAAGACCTGGAGAACCACCCACTCCAGGGTCACCTTTTGGGCCTGGTAAACCTGGGTTACCCTTTGGACCATTGAGACCTGGTTCTCCTGCATATCCTGGTTTTCCATCTGAGCCGGGGAAGCCTCTTTCTCCCTTAGCCCCAGGCTGTCCCGCAGGCCCTGCTGGCCCTGGCTCACCTTTAGAGCCTGGGATACCATGGTTGCCTGGCATGCCTTTTGGTCCTTGGGGCCCCATATTTCCAGGAGGTCCAGTCAGACCTGGCTCCCCTGGATGGCCAGCTGGCCCCTGCTCCCCTTTGGCACCAGGACCCCCTGGAAGGCCAGCAGGTCCTCTTTGTCCTTTCATGCCTGGCAAACCTGGTTTCCCAAAGCCAGGAGGCCCTGGGGGCCCAGCCATTCCTGGAACTCCGGGATGACCTTTTGCTCCTGGGATTCCTGGCTGCCCTGCAGATCCAGGAGGTCCTTGCTTTCCAATACCTTCTGATCCTCGTTCTCCAGGAGGACCTTGTGGACCTGGTGGGCCAGTGGGTCCCCTTTCTCCTGGAAAACCTCGCTCACCTTTGATACCTGGCTGTCCTGGAAACCCATTTTCACCTCTTTTGCCTACTCCAGGAGAGCCAGGTGGTCCCACGGGCCCCTGAGGGCCTGGAAGGCCCCTCTCACCTGGGCGGCCAGGAGCACCATATCCTGATTCCCCCTTCTGTCCGTTCATACCAGGAACTCCGGGAGTACCCTTTTCTCCAGGAGGACCTCGGGGTCCTGGTGCTCCTGTAGGTCCCTGTTGTCCAGGTTTTCCTGACACAGAAATTCCAGCTGGGCCAGGGATTCCAGGTGGCCCTGGAGGACCCCGGGGTCCTGGTAAACCAGCTGGCCCAATGTCACCCTTGGCCCCGTATGGTCCTCTCTCTCCTGGTTTTCCTGGAAGTCCTGGGACACCTGGCTTCCCAGTGGCTGATGGTCCTGGGGGTCCTGGCAACCCTGGCTCTCCTTGGGGTCCAGGACTTCCATAACCCGGTTTTCCTGGTGGTCCAGAAGGACCTGGGTGTCCTCGGGGTCCAGTTGGGCCTGCTGGTCCAGGAACACCTTGCTCTCCTCTTATTGGTATACCTAAAACATACACCCAAAGAAGAGGAAGTCAGTAATGCCATTAAGGAAAATCACTGTTTCTCTAAATATGACTTGAAATAAAGCTTTTCAATATTATTCATTTGCCAGTCTTTAGGCTAATCGATCCTAAATGGCTTTGGACACATTTTATTAGTAATAGTCGTAGTATTAAGATTTTCATTTGATAATAAAACTTTTAAAAAATATTGTTTTAGAATTTATTTTTAAAAGATAAAAGCTAATGTTATTTAATTTGTCCTTTTTGTTATTGTTTTTCATAATAAAAGCACGTATTATTTTTATATAGTAAAAAATGTTACTTTTGCTTGGTCTTTATTATTATTATTATTATTAAAAACTTTGCTTGAGAAAAAAAAGACAGCATGATAAGACTCTGACTACCATAATACTTTCCTTATGATAGCTACCCTAATGATACATCTCAATAAGCTGGATTTGAAGAATTCATATAGATTATGTTCAGTAAGAGTAGATTTATCAAAATGGTTTTGGAGAAAAAACAACACCTAGAAAAGAAAAAACATCAGCTCTTTGACAGAAAATAAATCTTTAAAAAAGTAGAAAAATGTTCAAGAACTATAATGATTTTCCTTTACAAAAGCCATCATGAATCAAAATGAAAAATATAGATTACATCAGCCATAGACATACTAGACACAGTTTGGACTAGGTTGATTTTTCATTCAACCTATCTAAACCCCATGAACTCTTAAACTTTCCATTTTTTGTTGTCAGGTTCTATTATGTTGACCCCAACTCATAGGATCCCTATGTACAATGATTTCAGACTACTGTGCTCCATAGAGTTTTTAGTGGTTGCTTTTTGCAAGTGGATTCCCAAATTTTTTCATACTTGTTCTGTCAGCTTCACCGAAAACTTTCACCATCACAGCCACACAAGGGCTTCCACTGATGAAAGGATCGTAACTGCATGTAAGGTACATTGACCACGATTGGGCCTGGTCTCCCCCATGGAAGGAAAAATTCTACCACTGAACCAGCAGTCCTCTTGTACTCTCCATTATTCACTTAAAATGGAAAGAAAGAATGAGGGAATTAGAGATAGCTTTAAGATGGAATGGAGTTCTGGTGGTTTGTTGCTGTTGTGAGATGCCATCAAGTATAGTATAACTCATAGCAACCCTACGAACAACATATCTGAACCCTGTTCTATCCTGTGCCATCTTCACACTTCCTGACCCACAAGAGCCCACTGTAGCAGTCACTGCATAAATCCACCCAGTCAAGGGTCTTACACTCCTTTGCAAACCCTTCACCCTTCAGGACATCATGTCCTTCTCCAAAGAATAGTCCCAACTAGCAATATTGCGAAGTATGTGAGGCAAAACCTCATTATTCTTGTTTTCAAAGAGCACTTTGGCTGAACCCTCTACAAGACATGTTTGTTTGTTCTTTTGGTGGGACATTCAGTGCTCTTCTCCAACACTATAGCTCAAAGGCTTCCAGCTCTCAAACAAATAGCAAACGATTGGAAAGACTATGGCCTGGATCAATGCACCTTAGTCCTCAATCTTGACATCATTACCTCTCAATAATTTTGAAAGGTCTCCAACTGCAGACTTTCCCAGTACAATGCATCTCTTTATTTCCTAATTGCTCATACAAAGGGTATTAACGGTGGATCTAAGTAAGATGAAGTTGTTAACAATTTCAGTCTTCCTCTCCATCCATCAAGATGTTGCTTATGTACTGCCCATCCAAAGGATTTGAACCCAAAAGTCTGAATCCACCCGCAGCAGCCCCACAGGAGAAAGATGAGCAATCTCCTCCTGTGCCGTTTACTGCCTCTGAGAACCCACTGGAGAATCAGCAGTGGGGCAGGCCTAACTTCACAGTCCACAAAGACAATCTTAAGGTGAAAAGTGCATTGGAGTCACACAGGTGAGTAAAATACAATAAAGTAGGCCTGTCTACCATAGTGTGCTTAGTACCTTAGAAGGGTTTCAGGTGCTGCTTTAATTTTTCAAGCATTTAATGTCCCAGAACTAGCATTTTACAACATTTCAAAGGATCTTTTGGTAGTAATCATAGGATTAATCTACCCAAAATATCTGTATTTTAAGACTAATACGAAGATCTCTAGAAAAGATGTAGTAAATGACATGATTTTTAGTATCTATTTGAAGAATTTATATTAAAAATTTTTTTATTAATGAGTTTTAGAACCATAATTAGAACACCTGCTTATAATATTTTAATTTATACACTGTCAGAAAATATCTCATAGTAATGACGCTATTGCTTTGTCTGTGAAGTCAGCACTGATCCCTAGCTGGCCTTCCAGGGGGTGCTTAGAGCCTGTCAATCACATGAGAGGAGATTGTCCGTCTTGTGGATATGAACCACTTGCCTTTGAGTTGGCAGGACAACTATTTAGCCTCAACGTCATCAAAACTCCTTTATCATTGCATAGTTTGCTCAAAACCTGAACATGGCTCATAACTATAACTTTTGAGGCACAATTTAAAAATAAAAATTAATGTACTCACTCTCCATTTCACTAACTCTTCAATGGTATTAAAAATTAAAATGAAGACTTAATAATGGTAATACAAGTCGAATGTGTTGGAGTTGAAAATTGCTTTTGAAAACATTTTTTTGTGAGTAGGATTCCCTTTAGTTGTTATTACAGTACTGTATTAAAAAACAGCAACTAAAACAGCTTTCGGATTGGCATTTAAGAAGCCACAGTACATTGTCAAATAGAGTGTGTAGCTTTGAAACTTTACTATTTGCAAGCAAGATATAAATTTTTGTTTATACTATAAAAATAGCCAAAGCACATTAATATGAGATGGAAATATTTATAAGCTTCTGAAAGTGGGTTTATTTCATTTTTAACTTAAATTAATTTGCTGTGATCTTAGTAAGCTCTAAAAAGTCTCAACCTGTGATCATAGGTAATATTGAAGACGATCTAGCTACAGAGTGGTTCAAGCACTTGACTGCTAATTGAAAGGTCTGTGCTTTAGATAAAAATTGTGGCAGACTGCTTCCTTAAAAATCGACAGCCTGGAAAACCCTATGGGGCAATTTTACTCTGTCTTGTGGGGTTGCTCAAAGACAGAATTACTACAAAAGGCAATGGGTTTAGTTTTTTGGTTTAAAGAATATTGAATCTAGTGTTAGTCATTGAAGAGAACATTTCAAATTACACTTGTTGCTTTAATCTATTTCATAGTCTTTTACATTTTTCCCTAACTTCTACCTTCCTTTTATTTTGTTTAAATCTTTTGAGACATGCAAGACAATGTGTTGTGCTGTGAATTTATTTTTAACTATAAGGCTACCACACAAAATGGTTTAAATTTTATGTTTCTTCTTAAAAAGGCAACTTTACTACTTCAATTTGCTCAAAATGATTGTATCCAACCATTTATTGATGGCAAATACCATGCATGAGCTTTAGCTCAGAAAGCTATCTACCATCGAGCCTGGTCTCTGCTAGAGGGTTTATAAGGCTGTAAATCACAATGAAAGAAGACTGTTACTCTTTTCTCAAGGAGCAGCTGGCCAATGTGAACTGTTAGAGCCTGACAACCTTTGCTTTCGTAGTACAACTTGATACGGGTTATGCCACAAGAGCTTTTATTTCAAGTGTAAAATATGTACATATAATGAGGGGGAAACTAGGTTAGAGAGGAAATTCTGTGTCAGATGAATTAGTACTGTGAGACCTAATGTTTGCTCATCTTTGAGGACTTGTTAGAACATTACATACATTATAGACAGATGAAAGGTAAATTTAAAAAGGAAATAAAAACTCAACAAAGGCTACATCACTAGAAGTAAAAATGAAAGTAATAGTATAATAGGTGCAAGAGTAATTACTAGCATTTAAGCACTTTGTAACATTCAGCTGCTAACAAAATTTGTAGATTCAAACTCACTAGCAGGCTCAAGGGAGCTCTTCTGGCCTCCAGGCGAAAACCTGGGCTGAAATTTCAAAGGCACGTGGTTCAAATCTACCAGGTGTTCTGCAGGAGGAAGGCAGTCTCCTCCTTCTAGATTTAAATCCACTGGAGGGTAAACTATCCATTGGTTCCAACTGACAGCTCACAACAACAACTCGAAAGGGTTGGGGGTGTTTCTGGCGGCTCAGTGGTAAGTATTTGCACTCCCACCTCAAAGGTATACTGGTGCAATCTACCAGGGGCTCTGTAGGAGAAATATGGCCTATCAACTCCTGTGTCTATGGATATCCACTAGAGAAGACAACAGTGAATCTTTTCTGACTCACTGGTATATAACAGCAACACTAACAACTGGCCCAGTGGGGAAAGATGAGGCAGTCTGTTCCATAGTAATTTAAAACCTTGGAAATGCTAAGGTCAGTCTGCTGTCCTGCAAAGTTGCTGTGTGTAGGATTCTACCAGGTGGTGATGAGTTTAAGAACTTTACAGCTATTAACTTATTTAAGTCTCCTAATAGCTCTCTGAGATACTCTTTGCTTTACAAATGAGACAATTAACTTTCTGTAAGGATAAATAACCTTCACAAGGTCAGGCAACTAATTCTGGCTAACTGCCTGTGCACTTAAAACTACACAAAAATGTCTAAATGAGAGAATGGTTACTTCATTTACCTCTTTGTCTCAAGGGATATTAACTTTTGTTTGCTAAGTGTTTGTGTGAATCTGTGAACTAGTTGACTGGGTTTCAAAAGTAAACTAAATGTGTGGATATATAAAATTGTGCCTATTTGTACACTAGGCAATTATTTTTAATTAAAACATTTTAAACTTTATTAATTTTGCCTGGATTCTGTTCCAAGTTCATGGGTGGTTATTTGTGTAAAGGCAGCATTTGAAGAGGAAAAATGTCCACACGTGAAAATTCTTAATATTCTTCAGGTATGTCAGTCAATACCTCATGCAAGAGACATTTATGTTCTTGAACAAACCTACACTTTCTACAAATCATTGTGTTGTAAAAATCTGGGTTAATTTAAGAGTATTAAAAATAAACATCAAATATGTCAGTAGCAGCCAACTAGACAATAGAGAGAAATATAAAATTTACTTTACCTTTACTCTTTATGGTGTAGGGAATGAAGAATTGTGTCTTGGTGTTGGGTTGTGGGCCTTTTATGCCTGTGGGTGTTTGGTATCGTTCAGCATAAAACACTCCATGCACCAAGTTCAATGACATTAGCAGCAAAAAGGCTCTTTGTGGCAGCATATTTTCAGATGAATTCTGAAAAACTACAAAGAAATTATTTCACACCGTTTTGTTGTTGACCTATTTCCTTTCTCTGAAGTTATATAGGTAAACCCTTACATAGTTGCCTACTCTTTTTAATCTTCTCTTATGTATTTTGAATATACTCCATAATTAATAAAAGTTACAATTATTTAGTTGTATGAACATGTCCTCACTCTTTCTGAAAACCAAGTAAAATTGAAGTAATTTCTAGAAAGAAACACAGGAACTATCACTGGATGTCTGTATAAAATAATCAAGATCTCTGGCATAGACTGAGATATTCAGTAGTTTCCAAGTACATGGAAATTCACATCAGGGCATGATTTAGAAAATATACTTTCATTCAAAATATTTAATATAAGCTGATATAAATTAAACCCTCTAAGTAGATTTTCTTATTGGAATCTTTTTTTTCCTTCACAGAAAGAGAAATAATTAACAATTTGTTGAAGCTTATGTCCAAGTAAGAATATGACCAGTGAACATCAAGCCATAGACTTACCAGAGCACTGAGTATTCCTGGATGTGTTTTGTTGGCAGCTCTCTGAGGTCTCCTCTGCCCAGGTGAGCACTGTAGAAGATGCTCTCTTCAGAGCTGCCCTGCAGTATTTATACTGCTTTTCCCTTACTACATGAGGTTACCCTAAGTGGAAGCTCCTCCTCTCAGACGTGGTAAGCACTAATTATGGTGGAAAGTTCTATTGGGCAGGCATACAGGATCAGGCTAGGTTCTCCTTTTCCTTGTTTTCTTATTGAAAAAAAAAATAAACTTTTTGTTTTGAATATATATTAATAGTTTTAAACAGAACCATCTTTTTCTGTGTTCATTTTAGAAGTTATTACTCAGATGTCTATATTTGTTCATGATAGAACAATACTTTTTTGTTTTGAAAAACACATTCTTGTTGAAAATGTTTGGGAGTGTATTACATGTAGGGAGAAGCCTTACTGGCTTACTGGTTATCTAATTTATCATTCTAATTCTTCAGTTATTATTCAGAGCAATCAGTGTGTCCATTCATTAATTGTAAGGATAAATAACTTAATCAAGGATATACAAGCCCAAAGTCATAACTAAATTTTATTACAGTAACTTGGACTTTTTACTTCTTTTGACATGAGATAAAAGAAACAAAAAGATGGAAAGTTTGCTGTCTCAGGATTTTATTGTAAGCCCTCAGAAGTTCATAAAAGAAAATTTAAATATGATTGTTGTTGCTCTTGTTATGTGCCGTTGATTCGCCTACAACGCATAGTGATTTTATGCACAATAACTCTGAACTCTGTTCTATCTTGAGCAAATTTCCTTGTCTCCAAAACATCTCCTTTCATTCCTACAGTCACTGAATAAATCCATAAAGTCTTCCTTTCTTGTGCTGTCCCTCCACCCTTGCAAGCATGATGTCCTCCTCCAAGGACTGGTCCCTTAAATATTTCAAATTATTGTATGAGAAGTATTTTTAATTTCTCAGTGGCAACTTGTTGTTGTTAGGTGCCACCAATTTGCCTGTGACTCCTAGCAACTGTAGGTACAACAGCTCTGAAGCCTGCCCTGTCCTGAGCCAGTCTCACTGACTTCGACACACCTACATCCATTGCCCTAGTTACTGCATCAATCCATCCCATTTGGGTCTTCTTTCCTGTGCTGTCCCTCCACCCTTCTGAGCACGATGTCCTTTTTCCAACGACCAGTACCTCATGGCCATGTACCTAAAGTATATGAGATGGACCTTCAAAATCCTAGCCTCCAAAGAGAAACTTGCTTTCACCTTCTTCAAGACAGACTTATTTATTTTCTTGGTGGTCCATGGTATGTTCAAGACTCTTCTCCAGCACCACAACTCAAAGAAATCAATTCTTTTTCTGTCATCCTTAGTCATTGTCAAGCTCTGTAATGCATAGCAAATAACTGTGAAGATCATGTCCTGGATCAGGCACACCTTTGTCTCTAGACTGACATTGTTGTTTTTCAGTACTTTCGAATGGTCTCTGACAGCAGGTTTTCCTAGTTCAATTTGTCTTGATTTTCCGACTGCTGGTGCCAAGAATGTTGATTGTGGAGCCAAGCAAGCTTTAACTGTTAACAACCTCAATCTCTATCAACCATGGTGTTACCAATTAGCCCGTAATAAGAAACTATTGAAGACTACAATCCTTGACCTTCTGCAGCAAGCGCTTCAGGTACCTTCAGTTCTGGCAAACAAAGTTGTATCATCTGTATAACATAGGTTGGTGATAAGTCTTCTTCCAATCCTGATGCCACATTCTTCCGCATAAAGCCCAGCCTCACGAATGATCTGTTCTGCATATAGATTGAAAAGGTATAGAGACAGGATGCATCTCTGACTCACTTCTTTCCTGATTTTGAACCATGAAGTGATTCCTTGCTCTGTTCTAAAGACTGTTTCCTGATCTGAGTATAGTTTTCACAGAAGCACAATCAAATGTTCTGGGATTCCCATTCTGCTCAAGGCTAGACATAATATGCTGTTAAACGCCTATGCATAACCAATGAAACACAGTACCTCTGGTACTCTCTGCTTTCTGCCAAAATCCATCTGACATTGGCAATAATGTTTCTAGTGCCACAACCTCTTCTAAACCCAGCTTGTAGCTATTAATTTAATAGTATAGGAATCAATTTAATCAATCTGTAGGAGGTAGTATCTTTATGCAAAATACTACATTTTTTCCAATACTAAAAAAAATTCCTTCATTGTCTTTGATATTTTATATTGGTTTCAATATTTTGTAGCTTGATTTTGGAATTTATTTATGTTGAGTAGAATTTGTAAAAACCCTTGACTGGACAATGCCATATTTAGGTAAAATTGCTGTGTACATTTCTAAAAAAAGATATTCTTCGAATTTTACTTTTAGCTTTTAAAAATAGTTATTGATAACCTTGAAATAGCCTTCACAGATCATCCAAATTGTGAGTATTTTCTTTTCTCAACTTTGGAAAAGAACATTGACAGTACCACTTTCAATGGTCAGTATTCTCTTCAACAATATTATTCTTTTTGTGTACCGTCAAGTCAGAATCAATCCATGGCTGACATTCCAGTGGGTTTTCAGAAGCAGCTAAGCACTCAGGAGAAGATTGCCCATCTTTCTGCCATGGAGCAGCTGATAGATTTGAACCACATACCCTCGTGCTGGTACCACAATTCCTTACCACTTAACCACCAACTTAGCCGATTTTAAAATCAGTTTTAGGACCTCAAAGAACCTAATAAAGATTGACGATTCAGAGCCCACATTTTATAATCTAAAAAAAAATTTCTTCACTTTGGATCTAAATCTGTGCAGAATTAAAGCATATCAAAAGTTAATTTGCAACTGAAATATCTAACTGCTCTATAAGAAAATAAAAGTTAGCTTTTCATTTGCTTCCTTCTTTGCTATAAAATACTGTGTGTGTTTCTATAAAGCCTTAAATATCAACTTACAGAAGTGAGCAACTCTTCTTACTGCCTCTCTAGGACTGATCCACTGGCATCATGTCAATTCTGGCTTGTAGAAGTCAGATAGAGTAGAGCTACCCACAGGCTTTCCAAGCCTGGAACCCTTTAAAGAAGCAGAATTCTTCATCTTTCTCCTTTGTCGTGGCTAGTAAGATTGAACCACTGATCTTCTGGTTAACAGCTTAATGCCTTAACTACAGTGCCACCAAAGCTGCTTCTACAGGAATTGTTGTTACGTGTCGATAAGTGGCTCATAGTGACCTCATGAACAATTGATCTGAAACCTGTCATTCTTATCATCCTCAAAACATTTGAGTCATGGCAACAGACACCATTTCAGCCCATCTCATTGAGAGTCTACCTCTCCTTTTCGGACCCTCCACCTTTCCAAGCATGATGTCTTTTTCCAAGGAGTACCTTTCCTAACTGCATGTCCAAAATTTGTGAGATGAATCTTCACCATCTTTGCCTCCAAGAGACATTCTGATTGCACTTTTTTTTCAAGGTTTGTTCTTTGGGCAGTTCATGGCATATTCAGCACTCTTATCCCAACACCAATTCTTTTCCTTCTTCATTGTCTAGCTCTCAAATCCATAGCAGGTGACTGCAAAGACTGTGGCTTGAATCAGATGCATCATAGTCTTTAAACTGACATCATTGCTCTTCAGGACCTTGGAGAGATCTCTGACAGCAGACCTTCCCGTTGCTATACATCTCCCAATCTCCTGACTTTCAGTACCAAGGATATTGACGATGGATTCAAGTAAAATAAAATTGTTGACAATTTCAATCTTTTCTCAATCTATCATGACGTTGTTTATTGATTCAGTGGTGAGGATTTTTGTTTTACGCTGAGATGGAGTCTACATTGAAGGCTGATCTTCTGCAGCAAGACCTTCAGGTCTGCCTCAATTACAGGCAAACAAGATTGTGTTATCTGCATAACAGATTACTGACGAATCTTCACCTGATCCTGATGCCCCACTCCTTTCCAGAATGCCAAGTTTCTCACATAATATGCTTATCATACAGATTGACTACACATGGAGAAAGGATATAGCCTGAAATATAACTTTCCGAATTTTAAACCACACAGTATTCCCTTGCTCTGTTAAGACAACAGCTTCTTGGGCTAGGTATGTTGTTGTTATGTGCCGTGAAGTCACCTGTGACTCATAGCAATTCAACGTATGACAGCCCTAACTCTATCCTGTGCCAATCTTACTGTCTCAAACACATCTACCCCAAACACCCCAGTCACTGAGTCAATCCATCTCATTGAGGGTCTTCCTCTACTGTGTTGTCCTTCCACTCTCCCAAGCATGACATCCTTCTCCAAGGACTGGTCCCTCCTTGCAAAATGTCCAAAGTATGTCAGATGAAGCTTCAGAATCCTTGCCTCCAAGGAGCAGCCTGGTTTCACCCTCTCTAGGGTGAATCTGTTCATTCTTTTAGCAGTCCATGGTATATTCAGTACTCTTCTCCAGCACCACAGCTCAAAGGCATCAATTCTCCTTCTAT